AGCGGCGGTGCTGGGCGCTGTGCTGCTGTGGCTGTGCTGGCGGGCGGCGGCGGAGCGGCTCCGCTACTCCATGGCCGAGGAGCTGCCCAGAGGCTCGCTGGTGGGGCCGCTGGCCCGGGACCTGGGGCTCAGCGCCGACGAGCTGCCGGCGCGCAAGCTGCGGGTGGCGTCTGCCGGCAAAAAGCAGCTGAAATACTTCACGGTGAGCGAGACAAACGGGAACCTGTACGTGAGCGAGAGGCTGGACCGGGAGGAGCTGTGCGGCGAGTCGTTGTCCTGCTCCGTCAGCTTCGAGGCGCTGGTGCACAACCCGCTAAATGTTTTCCACGTCGAGGTGTCCATTCTGGACGTGAATGACAACTCTCCGGTCTTCAGAAAGGCTGTTTTGGATATCGAGATCGGTGAATGGACGCTTCCTGGTGCTCGTTTTTCTCTGGAGATGGCCCACGATTCAGACGTGGGCAGCAACTGCCTGCTGACTTACCAGCTCAGCAGCAACCCGTCCTTCTCTCTGGCTTTAAAGGAGAACCCTGACGGAAGCAAGCAGCCGCAGTTAGTGCTGGAGAGAGCCTTGGACCGGGAGAAGCAGAACTCATTTGAGCTGGTGATGACTGCAGTGGATGGCGGGGACCCCGCGAGATCCGGGACTGTTCAAATTCGCGTCAACGTGACGGACTTAAACGACAACCCTCCCGTGTTCAGCAAAAGTATTTACGATGCGCGAGTGGCGGAGAATCTGCCGGCGGGGTCGCTGGTGCTGCAGGTGCGGGCCACGGATGCGGACGCGGGCTCCAATGGGCGGGTCTACTATTCCTTCGGCGACGTTTCGGAAGTCGTCAGAGCGTTATTCACTGTCGACAGCGAGAGCGGCGAGGTCAAGACGGGGGATCCCCTAGACTTCGAGGAGAGGAGCAAGTACAGCTTTGAACTGAAGGCGACGGATGGAGGCGGGCTCACCGGTCACTGTCAAGTGCAGATAGACATCACGGACGAGAACGACAATGCCCCTGAGATCACAGTTCTGTCGCTGTCGAGCCCCGTTTCTGAGGACGCGTCAGTCGGAACCGTGGTGGCCCTTCTGAACGTGAACGACCCGGACTCCGGCGAGAACGGTGAGGTGTCGTGCGAGCTGTCGGGAGAGGCGCCGCTGTCGATCGTGGCGTCGTCGGGCGGCTCCTACAAGGTGGTGACGGCGAGCGCGCTGGACCGCGAGCAGGCGTCCGAGCACCGCGTGACGGTGGTGGCCCGGGATCGGGGCAGCCCGGCGCTATCGAGCGTGGCGGAGCTGATGCTGGAGGTGTCGGACGTGAACGACAACGCGCCGGTGTTCGAGGAGGCGTCGTACAGCGCGTACGTGCGGGAGAACAACCCGGTGGGCGCGCTGGTGTTGCGCGTTGTCGCTCGGGACTTGGACGCGGGCGCGAACG